ATTTTGCTAAAACCGTCCGGATCTCTCTCGTCGGTAAACAATGCACGGAAGCAAAAATTATTATAACAAACGTGGGATTCAGAACGATAGCACTGGATTATTACTTGTTCTTGAACAGATGGTTAATTCTATTTGAATACACCTCACCCTCGCCGTTAGGCGCTGCATCTGCCACCCTGGTATTACAGGCACGGTGGTGGCCTGGCACATGCGAAACTTCCTCAGCTGGTTGTGTTTCTCAACGGAATTGTATAGCCGGTGGTAACGCGGACGTGCAAACAAACTTTTCTTTTTTTTACACCGTAAGTAAGCGGCCAAATCAGTGCCCAGTTACGATTTTGACTTGGTTTTCCCGAGAATCATCTATTTCCAAAGTCGATCATGAGCAAGTATTAGCAAAACAGTTCAAAGAGCATGGCCATGTATTTTCGGCGAGTGTTTGATGACAAAAAGTGACCTCAGCGCCATTTTCAGTGCCTCATTAAAGACTCTTCGCAAGGGTGAAAATGTTTGACTCAACTATTCTGCGAGATAAGGCGTGAACTTGCGGCTAATCTCTTATAAAACGTGAGGCAAATAAGCAACAGGGATCTGTTTGTTGGATTGTGATGAAAGAGATTTCCTGTGCAGATTCTGTGGAATGATCGATTCTGGATACCACGTCTGAATTTCGATTTGGCTGCCGTTCAAGTAGCATATAACAAATGGAGCATCCAGATCCTCACTTTGTAGGTGAGACAATACTTGATGGCATTGATAATTTTTTTATCAACGACTCCATTGATGGCGACTTCAGCATGAATGGACGTCAGGAATCAGCCATTCCTTACGAATGGGGTCCGCCACTGTTTACGGCAAATCCATCCATTGTTACTCAGATTCACACTCCTGACTTATTCTACTTAGATCGTACATTTATTCTGGAAGATAGACTCAAGTTCATCTGGGACGTTACGATGAGCGAATTTTTAACAGAAATGGACACCTTCACGTATGCAACGGGAGAAAGCCATGAGGAGACTGATTATACAGTTCTGCGGGTCGACTTCAAGGCATTCTTTCTTGATCATGGACATGAACTGGCCTTTAACTGGTTCTCCAATTTTTCACTAGTGTGGAATCCAAATGATGACGGGAAGATGAGATTCTCTGTGGAGTCGGTGCACATAGTTATATTGCTACCTTGCACGGTTCAGCGCCGACCAAGATCTGTTACTTATCGTGTGACTGAGAACCCGACTGTCTGAATACCTGAGGAGAACTAGTTGAATTTCCGTTGGTCGACCAGACGCCATTTGCTTTCTGCGATAACCTTCTTTGGGACGGAGTACAAGACGGAATGAGCAGCAAGCGTCAAGCAATCAGGCACTAAGAGTGGATATCGGTGAGAGATTAAAGTATCAAGTGTTACAACACAAACAGTGACATTAACATGAAGGCATATTGCAAAATGTGACAAAATGACAAAAAGAACAGTATCCTCAGCCACTACTGTAGCCGAAATCACCAGAACGATTTGCACCAGATATATTGACCGCAAGGAAAGTAGTAGCCAATAACAATTATTATAAAAAAATCATTTGATGTATTTTCAGTTTGTGTTCGAAAATCTTTATTTTACTCATGCATTTTCTGATTTCTTTTCCAGTGTATGTTTTGTTTTATTGCATTTTAATCGATTGCGGTAATTTGTGCCCGGAAGAGAAGCTTGTATCATGCCAAAAAAGGAGTAGTAGCAATTCACATACCCAGTACTAGAAGTCAGGCATTGTGGTCACATGACAGTCGCAAGGACCTCTTCAAGACTTCATCCAAATCTAAAATTGAATCCAACCCTGTTGGTAATTGTCTCTTCCTCACGAAGCGTGCAGATCACTAAACATGCCAAAGCGTTATACACGAATACGGATGTCAGTGTTGTATTCATACCCACCGAATGCATTAATTGCCACCAAAGTTTCTGTAGCCCTACTTTTCTACACGATGAAAAATATTATTAAAAATATGTATGGTTCCAGCGTTCATCAAACTTTTCTTCACTAACTAGAAGTCTGTTTTAGCGTTATCCAACAGCTTTTGAAAAGGTACTGCCACGATTATTTCAAAGTCTCCTCGTCTTTGTATCATGTTTTTTAGTGTAATTTGTTTTGTTATGTCAAAAATGATTTCTTGTACATTCCATTGTATTCGTTCAAAGAATTAATTGAGTGAAGGTCCAATTTACTGCCGACCAAGCGTTCTTGAGACATCTTAGATTGACATTGTACTTTCGGGGGACGCGCCATGACGTTATGCGGGACCGAATCCCCCCCCCCCAAAAAGGGGTATTGTGGTGAAATATATTCTCACATTTTGCTTTATAACTTTTATTAAAGCTAAGACCTGCTTTTGTATTTCACAAAGCTATGCACCATCAAGTATGCACTGCATTCCAGCAGCAACAGCAGCAGCAGCAGCAGCAGCAGCAGCACAATAGGACATTGAGTGCGGTTTGCCTTACCGTAGTGTTTTATGGGGGCATAACAGAAACAGATCTCTGATCTAATTGATTACCATTATGAAATTTGTGCAAAATATCCCCCTGCACCAAAACAGACGCGCGCGCACATGTGCTCACCATGGTGTGCGCATAGTATAGTAGTCATACACATGCTCATGCACGCAAGCACGCACTTCCATAAGCGCAAGCGCATGCGCACAACTGTACATAAGCGTACAACTGATTTTGCACATGCTCTTGGAGGCAAACTTGTGCTAAAAAACGGGCTTGCCTGCACAGGCACACATCTCTTAGGATCACACGCACTGGTCCCTCAGGATGACATTCTCGGTGGAGTCACTGAACATAGTTACTCAGTATTATGCTACCTAGCACAGTTCATCAAAGGAAAAGATCAGTTACTTTTTTAAAAGGACTTTTCTGTTTAGTTTTTTCTGTGGTGGAGGTTATGTGATGCCCACTTCTATACGCGTGGGGAGTGGAAGGAAACTTTTGAGCTCCGATAGTGATATCTTTTTCTGCAGAAAGTGGCTGAAGTGCGTGTAGAATTGTTATAAAAATGTCTAGAATCTGTTCCATTCAGTTGAATGAAGGATGGTGCTCGAAGGATCATGCCTTTTTCTTCAGACTTCTTCTGTCAGGTGGTGTAAGACCTGATGATATCAAGCAGGTGGATCTGAGTGGAAGGCGCGGATTCTGTAGATTTTGGTTTCCTGCACTGCTGTTAGGGACGAAGTGTTGTCCGGAGGGTTAGAATTTGAAGGAAAACAGTTAGTATTAGTAGTTGGTGATGGGGCAGTTGTGTCCGTGCATATATTTGGTGTGGCGGATGACACCCCACTGTCGACCATTACGTCCGCGATGGAGACATTTGCATCCGTCATTGGTGTTCCGAAGCGGGAAACAAAGGCTGTGGAAGGCTGCACCTTCACAACTGGTACTATATTCATGAACTTAGTACCCACAGCTATCGTACCCTCCACCATCATGTTGCCTGCCGAGTCCCGTCAGAAATTGAAGATTCCGCAAGGACTGCTTGCAGTCTGATGTGGAATCTGAGTTACACGAGGAGTGGAGGCAGAGAATGTGACAGTGTGTGTTTGGCCTAATTCGCTCCTAAAACCATAGCAATTCAAAGAAAATGTTCAAACTCCGCCACCATATTACTCCCGAACTCCAGACCTTCTTTGGCCTTTTTCGGAGCTCTTGACTTACATGTATGTGACAGTGTGGGAGGGCATAAGTCTATTCACAGACATCACTGACAACTGGGAGGGAACACACTGTCACATTCTCTGCCTCCACTCCTCGTGTAACTCAGATTCCACATCAGACTGCAAGCAGTCCTTGCGGAATCTTCAATTACACTTCGAAGCTCCAGCTTCGAATGTGACAGTGTGATGTTCAAAGTGATATACCCAGAGCACAAGCCTGATGGAACCCAGCCTGCGTTGGCCATTAGGTACAACAGACAACAAGTCTACAAGACAGTGCTATATTTATATACTAGTAACTGCACAGGACCCTAATGGAAAACAGAACGGGTCATACCAGGAATGGTCCAAACTTGCATAAAGACCAAAGCAGAGGAAAGCGCGACAACTGAGCCAAAGTTGTCCGCAGAGCAAATATTGCACGAAAGTGAGCCAGAGAGAGAGCTAGAGTGAACAGAGTCATGATTGACGAGAGTCATGATGAGAGGTTATCTCATTGCCAGACGAGAGGACAGCATCCGTGAACAGCTGTGAACTGGGACGATAATAGTGCTCAATGAAAGTATGCTGACCACTCCAATCAGCTGCGGCGAGTACCTCAGCCATCGTGACACCAGCCACGGTAGCCGCCGTTGTGGAAGCACCACGAGTTGAATGCGCTGTAAATGTGCTCGAGATGCCAGCTGCCTTGAGCACGGTCTTTAGCCAGCGAGCAAGCGTAGCAGAGCTGACAACCTGATGAGGAGGGCGAGTTGATACAAAGAGCCCAGTGTCAGCAGCAGACCGCAAAGAAATAGTGCGGGACAAATACTCATCCAGACAGACCACTGGGCAGAGTGTAGACGCCTGTGCAAACCGAGGCAGCACAAACTCTTTTGGTGCAGAGCCTACCCTTGGGGTCTTAGTGGGGCGTGTCAAGATGAACTGCACGCCATCCGGCTTCCTACGCATACTCTGTATAGAGAGTGCATGCAACGTCGAGACTCTTGGGGCTCTGGCCAGGGCGATGAGCATCACCAGCTTCTCAGACAGCTGGCCAAGTGAGACAGATTGATTATCAAGACTGGCAAGGTATTGCAGGACAGATGCAACACACCAGGTCTCACTGTAGCGCGGTTGCGGAGGGCGCTCGTTATAGACACCGGCCATGACGCGCCGAACTGTAGGGGACTGGCCAATGGGCAACTCATCTGCACGTACCGGTAACGTGGACGAAAGTGCTGAACGATAGACATTCAGTGTTCGGTACTGCTTGCCGCTCTCGAATTGGGAAGCTAGAAAGTTGGCTACCCGCACTTCATCAGCTTCCAAGGGATCAAGCGATTCCCGCTGACACCAGCGAATCCAGATGTTCCAGGCCGACTCGTAGCTGGACTGGGTTGATGAGCGCCACGATGAAACCCATAGACGGGAAGCGTGTGCTGAAAGGCCGCGACTTCGTGCGGCCTCCCGGATAGTGGCCAGACGGCTAGTTGCAGCCGGTTGGCTTCCATCGGATGTGATTCGCCGAATGGACCCAACACGGGATCCTGTATCTCCGGCAGCCGCCACGGGTGGCTCCGTAACATGGACAACAGCTGAGGATAATACGCCTGACCCTTCCATGCTGGTGCTACTAGTACGGCATTGGCAATTGGGTGGTACTGCATGAACTGGAGACAACGGCTGACTAATGCTATCGGGGGAAAGAGATAGCTGTCCTCCCACATGTGGCTGGGCAGCGAAAGCACATCCACTGCTACTGCGTCCGGGTCCGGATACCAGCTGACATACTGGGGAAGTTGGCTGTTGTGTCTCGATGCGAACATATCGCAGAGAAGTGGACCCTCGTGCGTCACAATCAAGTGAAACAGGTCGCTGTCCAGCTTCCAATCGCTGCTGTCCACCAGTAGATGACGGGAGAGGTAATCTGCGGTCGTGTTGCTGGCACCCGGCACATGCACTGCAACCAGGAACAGCCGACGAGCATACGCCCAATCCCAGATCTCCCTCGCCAACTGGCACACCAGGAACGAGTGTGTGCCCCCTTGCCGATTGATATACGCTACGGCCGTGGTGTTGTCGATCTCCAGACGGAGCGTTAGTTCTGTCAGGTCGGGACACAGCGTCTTCAGCCCCAGAAAGACCGCTTTCAACTCTTTCCAGTTGATGTGCCGATCGTCGTGGATTGTCCAAGGGCCGCCTGTGACTTGGCCGTTGCACGTCGCACCCCAACCATGGTTGGATGCGTCGGTGGTCAGAGTCAGGGAGGGCGGTGCGATCTGAACTGGCCTGCACCGTTGTGCTGGAGTCAGGTGAATCCACCATGAGAGGTCGTCTTGGGCATCGTCCAGTAAGGCAATGATCTCCTGTTCGTCCGTTATCTGGTTCTGAACAAACTGCAACATCCGGGACCTCGCTTGCGCTAGTGGTACCGCCTTTGTCACGTCTTGCATTTTCCCTAGCAAATGCCGTAATGCCGAGAGGCTGGCAGTGCCTTTGTTCAGCATTTGGCGACAGTCCTTGCGTATGCCCTCGTACTTCCGATCTGGAAGATGAAACTCCATGGACAGCGAGTTGACTGTTATGCCGAGGAACTCCAGAGATTGCACTGGCGTCAGGATCGATTTGTCCCTGGAGATGATGAAGCCCAGGTGCTCCAACAGAAATGCTGCTGCGTTCACCGATTGCTTGGCTGCCGCTGCTGTGGCAGCTATGAACAACCAGTCGTCCAGATACACCACTAGGAGGATTCCCAGAGATCTGAGAAATGCTGCCACCGGTGCCAGGATCTTGGTGAAAGTGCGGGGGGCATCCGAGAGCCCGAACGGCAAGCATCGGCATTGCCATGTCTCTTCCCGCCAGCGAAAACGGAGCCATCTTAGGCTGTACGGGTGGATGCGGACAGAATGGAACGCATCCTTGAGGTCCAGCTTGCACATGAAGTAACCTTGCTGGAGAAGATCGGCGGCATGATGGAGTGACTCCATCTTGAAATGCTCTGTCCATACATGCTGGTTGAGGGCTTTCAGATTGAATACAGCCCGCCAACGACCGTCGGACTTTGGGATGACAAAGTGCTGGCTCAGATACTCCATCCCTGGCTCTTGCGGTGCTCTCTTTATGGCTCTTAGAGACAGCATCTTCTGGAATTGCTCGTCTAATCCTGTTTGCTCTGCTGGTGCCAGATGGTATGGCTGTGGCAACCGATCCTGGTGTGGCTGGCTGCTCATTGATAGTCGATAGCCTTCCACTGCTGCTAGGACCCACGGGTCCTGTGTGATTAATTTCCAATTGTGCAATGCATGACAAATTCGGCCTGCCGGAGAGGAATCCGGTAGGCTGTGCAGATTCAGCTGCGCATTCTGCACTATCGCAGGAACTTCTCGCTGATCTGCAGGACAACCCCGGGCTGCTAAGCCGACGGGTTTGATCTCCGCTGCGGAGGCGGGCCGGAATGCTGCTGCTGCTGCGGCTGGGACCGTGGTGGGTAAGGCCGGAATCGGCGGCCGTGATCTGGATAACCCCTGCCGGAACTGTGGGGTGGCCCGGACCGGTTGCTGTCGCGATAGCGCGACTGAAGTGAGAATGGGGCCCGGCCCCGTTGGGCGCCGAACCCCCTGGAACGAAAAGGCTCTTGCCGGGGCTGCACTAGCGGGCTTAGTTAGGCGAACCGCATCCCGCAAAGCTGTTGACGCCTTGACCTTCTCGGTCAAAGTCGCCGTGAACTTGTCTCCAAACAAGCACTTGCCTTTCTCAGGCATCTCATCCTTCATTAATGTGGCTACCTTTTTGCCACCAGCCTCCAAGACCGTCTGCTGCCGTGCCTGGGTGAGCAAGGCATTGACATTGCCCATCAGAACGAGTGTACGCTGTACAATGTTCATTACGTCTGCCACCTCGACAGTGTCATGGTCAGTGTCCAGTAGTGAAGCCCAGGTGCACGTCAGTGGGCCCACCGTTGCATGCAATGCTTGCTGCACCAAAGAAAGTCTCCCATCAGCAACTTTAGGCAGCTGGTGCCCTATCCAGCTCTTTACCGACTCATCGATCTTGGGGGCAATCAATGCTTCCGTGGCAGGACGCGGATGCAACGTGAGCATAGACTTTCGCTCTTCGTCCGTCAGGGCACGACGGAAATGAGTTTCTATGTAGTCTGTGATGACAGACGGAGCTCGTATAAGGTACTTGCCGGATGTGTCCACCTCGGCACGTGGATCAAAAGCCTGAGGCTTAGTCATAGTCAGGGTAAGATCTCGCTGATCTTCCGAACTGACAGAAGGCTCCAATGCCTGAGCCGGAGGCCCGGCGGCAAGAAGATCTCGCTGATCCTCAGAAGCCAAATTTTCAGGAGCAGACGCCCTGAGTGACCCAGATCTCGCTGAACTGGCCCCAGAGCCGCTCGGAACCTGGTCACCACTGGAACTTTCCAGGGTACCATCATCCATAACCCCATCCATGTCACCGGAAAGGGGCACGCCACAAATCGGACTGCAGACTGCAATAACTCAAAAATAAATCGAAGAAGAAACGTCCACCATGTGGAGCAAAGAAAAAGGCCAAAGAAGGTCTGGAGTTCGGGAGTAATATGGTGGCGGAGTTTGAAAATTTTCTTTGAATTGCTATGGTTTTAGGAGCGAATTAGGCCAAACACACACTGTCACATTCGAAGCCGGAGCTCCGAAGTGTAACTGTGCATTTGGCACAGGGGTCAAGTTCCCAAGTGCTACAAGTGTGGCTCCAGTACTCATTATAGCAATAAAAACTGCTTTATGGCAGTTTTCTAAAAAAGGTTATTGTGTTCTAGTCTATGGACCCCGTCTAAAAAGTAAGAAATTAACGAAATGTGATAGCCGAAAATTAAAATTTCACACAAAACCTCACAATAATCACAACAGTTGAAATGCTGCTTTCAACACTAAACTTGTACTGCACCAACAATTGGCAACATGCATGTCATGTATGCATAGGAAAGAGGATCACGAGGGGAAAAGGTCTTCTACATGTAGCTTTTCATTCTGTGTGTGATTATTGTGAGGTTTTGTGTGAAATTTTAATTTTCGGCTATCACATTTCGTTAATTTCTTACTTTTTAGACGGGGTCCATAGACTAGAACACAATAACCTTTTTTAGAAAACTGCCATAAAGCAGTTTTTATTGCTATAATTTCTTTTGTTTTTTCTGTCACCAATCAATGGAATGCCCTATATCAATATGTAAATGATGGCCTTCACATCATACCAAGAGTACATTTACCCCCAGAGTGTGCAACTCCCACATACCCTGCTGTCCCGACAGAATTTCAAGTTGACGTCATTATTTATGACGCAATGCTCCTTGCACCAGTGATTTACAACATGTGTACGGGTGTCAACGCATCACACGTTATTCTTTGCAATAATTTGTACAGGATCGATCGGCTTCGGTCAACCACAGGTTCCGGATTCGTCTGATAATCCGTGTACAGTGCGCATTGCATCATCAAAATGACGTCAACTTGAAATTCTGTCGGGACAGCACCCATAGTGGAGTTGCACACTCTGGGGGGGGGGTTATGTACTCTTGATCATATCAATACCGTATTATACGCATTGAGGTGCAAGTCTTTTCTTGCAGAAAATGGCACTAGGCTAGCATGTTCTTCTGCGGGGAAACATGTGAGTAGTGATGGACCGTGGTGATACCTTTTTTTATACGGAGGTCATTCTGTGCATGTTGCTGTTGCAGAATTTCATGACTCTGTCATAAAATTGTCTTGCCTTTCAGATATTTCAGATTTCCCCACCCTCGATCAGATTTATTTGAGAAATGTAACCAGGTGCGTGTCGCAGATGTTTTGGTTGATTCTGTGTTTATAATGGTTTATAATCATGGGTTATCGTGATAAGGTCATCCTGCATCATATTGCACTGAAATCGTAATCCTGTTGATGTCGATACAACTTTTGGAAGTAGTTCAATGACTTCAAACTGTTAGTCCACGATTGTCTAAAACAACACAGCAAAGGAGGAACAATAAACATGTATTAAAATGTAAACAAATACATTGCTGAGTCCAACACCTCGTTCCAACAACTACACTGATCCTGAGGATAAAAGGGGCAAGGCTATGCTTGGTGGTACTGAGAGATAAACAAGGCACTCCATAAATAATAAAATCTTACACATATTTTGGTGAGTATGAATGATATCCAGTCGAACCTCTTTAGGACTAACACCGAGGGACCGATGGTATTCATTCTGTGAGTTTGTCTTAACCTATTTTATATATATAACCAGTGAATACAATTATTTCTCCAATAGACATACGAATAGATTTCTTCTACAGCGAAAGATTCTAAGCCACACCAACTCATTGACTAGTCTCGTATGAAACAAATGAGTCACTAGCGAGGTTCTGCAAAACTAAAATGCGTACAAACTTTCGTTCTACGTCATGAAGTGCGAAACTTCAGCTTCGCACGAACTTTGGACGCGAAACTTGCAGGGAACACGAAATGAACTGTCGTAGGAAACTTCGTGAGATCGGGTCATGGCGTACGTGCACTTGGCCCGCGCAAACTACGAAAATGTGCAGAACGCAAAGATCGTGCCAAAATTTGTACACACTTTAGCAAGGACTGTCGCGAAACTTCGTTCGAATTTTCGTTTTGCAGAACCTCTCTACTGAACGTTTCTTTAGCAACATGACGGCAACTGAAACAGCAATAGAGAAAGTACGATACATGTACAGCACATTCTTGAAGGTACTACAAACAGATTGCAGATCGTAATTCTTGCTTTCGCGGCACGAAACTTTATTTGGGGCAGTGCAATCTCGGCGGTACTCACAAATAATAAATCAAACAGCCCCAGACCGAGTAAACAAATCCAATCACACAAGTACGAGATCTTCACGAGACGAGACTGCACCCATTGGCTTGTTTCGTATGAAGCAAACAAGTTTACTGAACCTCTCCACAATGGAGATTTTCCCTGATACCGTATGCGAATTTATTTTTGCAAACTCGGTCAATGGCTCCTTGAATCTTTCCCTCCAGATTGGGAACTGCCAACGATAGTATGCCACTGACTAGTGCCTTACTTGTAACGTACCAATGTACAATGAATATGAGTATTTCGACAACACATCTAACATGAGCCTTACCGTCAAGAAGGTGAACTCGCGTTCTTCGCACACTGTAGACAAGGGCAAAGAGATAAAAATGGATCTAAATCCGAATAAAATCAGCACACGTTTCCGTAAATGAAAGGGTGAGCATAAGCAAATGAATCGAAGGAAACAGGTCAACTCAGAGATCACCTGTCATCGAGTATTCCGTAAAAGGAGGCCTCGGCAGCGGAAAAGCTAAATTTAGAAAGGAGATCCTGGCAGCTTTTCCATTATTTATTGCATTCCGCCCAAAATCAGCACACTTTTCGTAAATGAAAGAGTCAACACAAGCAAATGAATCAAAGGGAACTGGTCAACTCACCTGTCATTGAGTAATATTCCGCGAAAGGAGGTCTCAGCAGCGCGGAAACGAAATAAGCCAGGCCAGGAGACGAAATATCCGAAACAGCTCATACAAGAAGCAGTTCCAAAGAAGGAAGTTCCTCGCGCATGCACATCCGAACACGGACTGCACTGCAACACAATGTCTGCCGGCTGCCGTGCACGTGCACAGCACGCGGCTACCACCCGTTGGTAGATCTAATACCGAGCACCTTACGTAGAGACTTACGTAGCCTAAGTGAAATACCGAGCAACTTACGTAGAAACTTACGTAGCATAGCGATGTCGTTTTTCTTGCCATGTGAACACAATAATAGAAAAGCTGACAGGATCGCTTTTCTAAATATCGCCAAACTCTGCACCCACAACCAGGCCAGCAGGCTCAGTCCGTACGCTGATGCAGCAGCCAACGCGCTGAAGGGCACTCTGGGCCAGGCCCAGGGGGCACTAGATGACACAGTAAGTGCACATTTACAACCAACAGTGAGTACAAGCCAGTAAGCAGGAAGTACAGCTTCAGCACCTGAAACTGGGACACCTCCAGTTTCTTCACCTAGTCAGGAATCAGCCAAACCAGACCAGCTCAACAAGGAGCTTGGAACTGCTCACTGCCCTCCAGATGACAATGGAGGCTTTATGGTGGCCAAGGGCGGAACACCTTCAGAGTGCCAAGAAAACTTGTTTTGGATTGGATTGGATTGGATTTTTATTTATAGTGGTGACTATAACAGACAATTACCTAATAACAATAGAACCACTCGAGGGAAAGATGCAAAAAGATATGAATAATTAATATAATAGACTACCGTGTTGTTGACTTTTCAGGAAAGGAGCTACTGACTGACTACCAATGTTAGGGATCAACAGATCACACACGCGAACAGCCTCGGTCCCAAAAGGACGAGGATCAATAGTCAAAGTCTCAAGTCGACAACAGTTGGAAAGGGAGAGAGAAAATGTCCAAGCCAGAGATTATCAAGGGCCTGGGTAGCTATGGAAATGAATGTGCTAAAGCGCGAATCCAGCTACCCAGGCGAACGGAAGAAAAGGTTAGAAAAAGGAACAAGGGTGAGTACGAGCCTGTAAAGGTGAGTACGAGTCTGTAAAGGTGAATGCGAGCCTATAAAGGTGAATGCGAGCCTGTAAAGGTGAGTACGAGCAAGAGTCAATAAACTTTTTGTTTATGCACTCTTGGTACGAGTCTGTAAAGGTGAGTGCGAGCCTGTAAAAGTTTTTTTTCGGGGTTAACGGCCTCTTTTACGGGTAAAATAAAGTCATGTAGACGTGAAAAAAATTGAATTACCATGAAAGGTAAAATAGAATTTTATTCAAGTACAATACATTGGGAAACTCCAAGAAATCCCACGTAAAACAGACGAAATTCAGTTTTCAACGGCCGATGTCTACCCCAGCACCATCCTGCGTCGACAGGCCTGTCAGGCGCCTTCTAGACCCGCGGAGCCGGAGGTCGACCGCATGGATCACTGCAAATTGGCTGCGAACTCGCACCCAAGCCATGATGATTGAAAAATGGCTTGTCCCACTTGAGGGCGAGGCGACCAGCAAGTCGCTTCTGATAGCTGGCGTATTCGCGATGTAGCACCCCATCCGCGGAACAAACCAGTGGTGTGAACGACCCACGGAGGTCCTCGGAGGCCTGACGGTACTTCTTTTTCTTCGCGTTAGCAGCGCGGTTGGAAGTAGCTTCCCAGGATGAATGGAAGTAACTGGGTGCGTTGGCATCAATGATTTGATTATCAAACAACGCCACCCTTGTATCCTCCCACACACCCCGGGCAAGCCAATCTGCCCGAAGAGCAGGCTGCCTAGTCCGATCTCCCTCCGGCACCATAATCGGCTCGACGACAACACCACCGAATGCCATATCAGCTTGCTTTGCATCGCTATCACGCATATCATTGCGGCCTCGCTTGATAAGTCAACGTTTCGGGCAGTCAAGGCCAT